TAGAAAAACAGAAGTAGAATGATTACAACAAATCTGAATTTTGCCTAGGCTACCTACTAGTTTCAAGTATAGCTGGATTCAAAGTGTGAGATATAGATTGGAAAAATAAAAAATAATGTTAATGTTGACATAGAAGATTATGAGGAGAATGAGAAGAATCAGGTAGAAGTAAAAGAAGAGGAAGAAGACAAGACAACAATGATGAAGCTCATTATAAGACTTCACTGACAAGGTTAAAGATATTTGTCAATCTTCCAAATGAAAAACATATCTTCAAATTTCTGCTGAAATTGGCATATAGGAAATGTATGAAACCCATCATTTCTGTGGAGATGATAAGACTCAGCAATCCTGGTGACCTGAGTTTCATTCCAAAACAGATGTAAAGGTGAAAGGAGCTAGAATGCCATAATTTTGTCTTCTGACTTCTACAGACATCCCAGTACTATGTGTACTCACACATCATCAATATACACACATCAAAAAGGAATTCATATTTTTAAAAATAAAATAATTAGATTTGCAGAGATGGCTTAGCAGTAGGTTAGATTCTCAGCCACCCCCATGGTGGCTGGCAATCATCTGTAACTCCAGTTCCTGGGGACCCAAGACATCTTCTGGCCTCCGATGATGTGTGGTAAATGGATATTCACGGAGGCAAAACACTGATATACATAAAATAACAATTACAACTAGCCTTATATAATAACCTAAGTGTTCAGAGGTAACACATGGGACTTGTTGGTAACCAACAGCTCTGTAATTGAACAATTGAACAAGAAAGAAACCATGCTTGAAACTGGAAACCTTCACTAAGTGCTAGTGAGGTCATGGATCTTGGAGGAAAGTCTACATCCATTGCTTACTAAACCAGCAAATTCCCTAACAACAATCTAAACATTTGCCCTTATACCTCAATATAAGTGTAGTTCTCACCTCTCATGAAAGAAATTATCTTTGAAATAGAAGGAGACTACTACAGAAAACCACATCAATCAAAATGCAGATTTGTGGAGGCAAGTCCCAATGTATACATCTGAAAAAATATTTCCATACCTAAGGCTCCAGGAGTGTTATGGAGGAAGGAAAGAAAAATTGTAAGAGCCAGAGTTCCAGGGAGCTTGCTGTGAGACTGTGTCTCCCAGTAATATCAGAAGATACTTTCATAAAGTCTCACTGGCATGACTGGCTATGAGATGAACAGAAACAACGGACATGCCAACTTGAGGCCTCATCCCTACAAACAGAACTACAGGCTATTAGGGAATCCTGAGAGTGGAAGAAACACTCATACCCCGGGAAGAGCACACGAGTTGTCTGTCCATTATCAAATGTTCAGTCCTGAAAACATGCATACAATGACATTATACAGACACAATAGTTTATATTTAGGAATATATGCATATATATGTGAATGTAAAACAATAGGAAAATAGTCTATGAACTTGAATAGTTTACAATATTATAAATACTTGAAAAATAAAAGTGCAAATGCACTTCATAATATAACTTTCAAAAACATAAGCTGTGCGCAGTGCTTTGCTTTAATGTGATGCTAAGAATTTCTATAGTTATCACAGATGGCTTACTTATGTAGCCCTAAATCTGATTTTCCTGAATAATACAGAGCAAAATGTTTTTCCAAAAGTTTCAGGAACATTTAAATGAAACATTACAGATAAAGTCCTTAGTGTCTCGTCATTGAAAATAGCTGTCTTTTGATGCTACACAGTTGGAATATGCTTAAAATATTTCATGTAGTCTGATTTTCACTTGTTATCTTCTTTCTTCTTCTACTTATTCATCAACATTTATTTTCCTTTCTACCACTACCTCTTCTGCATTGCCATTGTCACAGTGACCTGACTAGAGCTATGCCATTTCCTATTGATTCTGACATGCCTCCATGTCTTCATGGGATTATTATTGTAGAATAAGTAATTAGGCTGCAGAGAGATATTTTTCAGATTCAAGACATAATTCTTATCACTTGGAATACAATGTGTACAAGTTATCCTGGATTACAAGTTGAAAAATAGAGCATGTATTTTCTTGAGGTTGAGGTTTCCTCTGACACTGGGTGCATGAGAAAAAGACTGGCTTTGTACAAGAGGCTTGTATCAGTAGGGACAAGAAAACCATGATAATTGAAAGCATGCACTAGTCAGTCCATGTGATAGCCTTCCTAGCAAATGTCACATGTTTTTATTACTATCTAAAGATGAAATAATTTTCCATTCAAAATGGCTAAAATGCAGCCTTTTGCCTTTAAAGATTGTTTCTGTTGTCAGAATTCTAAACTAAGTGTACGATTGAGGCTTCTATAAAGAATAGCTACTTTAAATTTGTCGTGATTCACTTTATCCCAGTGTACTCATCTCTGCTACTTTATCTCCCATCTCATTTGCTCTTGAGATATTCTGAGGCTGTCTCTTTGGTGATGGCTCTTATATTTCTTGTTTGTACAATTAGTCTTTTACTGAAAAATTTTCATATTGAAATTCTACTTCTCTAATAAAGTATCAGCAGAAAGTTGAAAAACATATCTTGTTCTCTGACACTTACCACATATTTTCATCAAAAAGCTGTTGTGCTGATTTTAGGAACAAATACAGAATAAAAAAAATAGTAATTTACAAGACTTACCTAGTTTCACCAACAATATCATCTTATCTGATTTTAAACTGGCTCATCCTTTACCCAAAAAGCTTTTATGCCAGTTCTGCATTCCCAGAGTTGTAGATTGTTGAAAGCCCTCAGGATTTCACAGCCTGCAGGGAAGGAACTCACAGGACAATTAAAACTGTATGTTGACAAATTGGGTATTCTTAAATATGATGGAAAAAAGTTTTTGGTGACTATGTTACCCTGGTGAAAAAAAAGTGAATCAATTATAAATTCTTTTTCATTCTCTCTTAATTTGTGTAGATAATCTAATACAAATGCATATTTGCATATTTTGGTATTCTTGTTAATTATCAAATTATGCATATCCCTTCTTGGTGATATTTCTGTTTGTTGTCTTTCCAAGTACATTCTACAGTTTCCCAATATTTTTCCCTGTACCTTTAAAAATGTAGGTCACAGGAACTCTCAGTGGATAAATCCCATAATTATTACACAATTCTTTCTGAACTCACTAAAACATATATATTCCTTTGTAGGACTTTTCAGTTTCTTTTGTTTGTTTAAGGGTTTGTTTTTATTATAATTTTTTATTTTTGGAAATTTCATAATGACATATGATCATAGCTATTTTCCAATTTCCTTCCTACACCTGCCCCAACATGCCCCTTAACATATGTCTGTCTCAACTTCTTGTTTTTCAATAACACACTAATTCAATTAATGATCTCTCCCTCTGTGTGTGTGTCTCTGTCTCTGTCTCTGTCTCTGTCTCTGTCTCTCTCTCTGTCTCTGTCTCTGTCTCTGTCTCTGTCTCTGCTAGGACACAAGAAATTTCCCAAGGGAACACCCTCAGAAAGAATGTCATTCCCTACTCCAGCAGGTGTCTACTTCTAATAGCTTCTCATTAAGAGCTAGGACCTGAAAATCTTCTCATCCATCTAAACTGAAGGGTTTGTTGACTTAATCTTGAGAAAAGGACTTATGGTAATTACCATGCCTATTAAGAGTTCACAAGTGTGATATCTCTGTCACATACAGAGTCTACCACTTGCGACCCTCATCTTTATCCTACAATTCTTGCTTTCCTTCTGCCTCCTCTTCCGTGACAGTTCCTGAGTCCTGTCAGGGAGGTGGTAGTTGTGAAAATGATGTCCCATTTCCAGCTGAGTACTTAACTCTTCTTCTTAGAACTTCCACCGATTATATGTCTCTGTAACAGCTTTTTAATAAAATCTTATTTAATGGATTTACTAAATTGGTCATAGTTCTGTCTGGTTTATAAGTGATGATAATATTCCTAGAAGGAGTCCATGAAGATACCACTCAAATGCAATTTTCCCCACATTTTTGATGATTATGTGCAGAAGCTTGTATTGGGGAGAAATGAGGTATATGAACTTTGTAACTTAGTATCATAAAACTTATTTTAAATGCATCATTATGATACAAAAGATCCATGAAAGATACTGAGAATTACCTCTGTTGATATGCATTAATTTAGATTAGAAATCTTATGCAGAGGTAACTCTGTACCAATTGTCTCTAAGTAATCCCAACAGACTCATTTGTTCTTCAGGTTGAACTTTGACTGAACTTTGGTTTGTCGATGTGATCATATGAAAAGGAGACAGACATTCCTTTGTCCTCCCTCCCCTGGGGAGAAGAGTCTTACAACAGATAGTACATTCATTTTTTAAAATACAATTATGTCTCCATGGCATTAAAAACTGATCAAAATGTCATATGGATGGAAATTATTTTAGCAAAGGTGGATTTATATGAAAATTATGGTGAATGAATTTGTTTCTAGAAAGACTGAAGTGTGTGGGTGGATGTTTTCATAATTAAAAAAATAAAACTAGAGAGCTTTTACAAATTGTGAGGTTTCCAGTAAGATTCTAGAGTATTGTGGCCCTTCAGTTGTTCTGATCCAAAGAAAAATTTGGTTTCTGGAGATAGGCTGAGAGAGAGAGTGAAGGAAAGGGAGAGGTGGGAAGACCTAATGAGACAACCCCTGGTAGCACTCTAAAGGGTAAATCTCTTGGAACATAGAATAAGATGGCCATTGATTCAGATCAATTTGCATATCTATACCACATTATATGTATTACCAAGCACATATGCATAAATATTCAAATATCTACATATAAAAATATAGATATACACAAATATATGCTTAAATATGTAAATAATTATATGCATTTGTTTGAATTCACTACAGCAATACAGAATGCATAGAGATTACAATTGAATAGATCCATTGCTGAGGAACCTACCCCCTAATCTATATCTTTCTTTATCTTAGTAAATAAAATTAAACTAACATCATCAATGGACTCTTGAATAATTGTCTTGCTTGTCATTTCCCCAAGCTGCAAAACCATGAGGAATTCCGTGAATGTAAAACCTATGGGAACAAAGGCTGTTATAAAGATCTGGAAGTAGCTTATCTGAATGCTGGAATGAAGTGTCTGCTGAAAATTTGTTAAGTCTTATTCTACAGGTATCAGTGGTAAGTAAATATGTTTTGTCTTATTCCCATAATATTTCTATATATTTGCATTCTGTTATAGCCAGTGATCTACAAAACCTTGTTTTACATCTTCATTCATTACTACATAGAAATTTATGAAACTTCTGAAGCAAAATAAAAGTTTTAACTTCTCTTCTGTTGGTGATGAGAAAGGCTACTTTGTATGTTAAGTGAAGGAAGAGAACAGAGCTATGTAATTCACTTCCCACTAAAGGAGTGTCCTCTGAGAAGGCGTTTCCAAGGCTGTGCCCTGCAGTGGATACCTCCCAATCCTTGGTGGATGACAGAATGGGATATTTTTATGCTCCTGCTAAAACAATGAAAAGCTTCAGTTATTTCAGCTTATATTTTCACAAGTATCAGAAGATAAGGTGGTTTTGAAAGGAACGCCAGACAGCAGCTTGCCATAGCTGTGAAGTTGCCATGATGTCTAATTAAGGTTGGCTAGAGTAACATCTCCATGAAGGGAAATTTTAACCTTTAACATGAAATTACTGCTAAGCCTCACTGGTCTGTTATTGGATGGCAAACTCTGTAAACACTTGCATGGGTTGTGTGTGTGTGTGTGTGTGTGTGTGTGTGTGTGTGTGTGCACTTGTGTTGCTGAACTGAGTATGTTCTAACTTGACACCCTACAGTCAAAAATGGTAGTGATTCTAACCCATTCTGTAGCACTTGTTTACAAAGGTTTTATTTATATCACTAACATATCCCCATTATATATAAAGGCCCATGCCTGATTTCTTTTTTTGTCTTTTTCTTGGTGCCTAGAACATCTGGAAACTAGTAATTCTCTTAGATGGGCAGTTTTGGAGGACTAGTTTTGACTCGCGCCTCTCTTTCTGCTTTGAATACTAGGACCTTGAACCAGTTATTCAGAAATAATCACTTTGGAACATGGAAATAAACACATTTAATTCATAACATTATTTTGATGGCTTGGTGGAACACTCTTTAGAATAGTGTCTTTCATGTATTCAATGCTTAATAAATGTGTTCCACTAAATGCTACATAGGTTAAAATTTGTTTTTAACCTGCAAGATGTGTCAGCAAAATATTTTATTGAACAAGATTTTGACATTAGTAAATTTGATTCCATTGCTGTGGCTTTAAAATTATGTAAGGAGCTGAGAAAATAAGAAAATAGATGGTGTGTGTGAGTGTGAGTGTGTGTGTGTGTGTATGCTCCCCTGTGTTCATACATGCATGTGCAATGGAGTGTGGATATCAGATGTATTTTTTGAGACAGGATTTTTCACTAATACAGGAGCTCACTAACTCAACAAGACTAACTACTGAGTGAAAAAAATGGATTCTCTTATCTTTACCTGCCTATCACTGGTATTACAGATATGTGACTCTGTGCACAGAATTTTATATATAACTTAAGAACCTGAGTTCTCATTCTTGCATGACAAACACTTTACTGAGTGAGCAATCTCTCCAAGCTGAAAGTAGATATTCTTGATACCAAATTTACAAACCGAAGTTACAAGTAACATCTATATTTAAATGATAGAATAATAGCTGAAAGGATAGTCAAAGAGTATGCTTGTCTGAATTCACTTGGTGTGTGGAAAATATAAGTATTATATAATAGAATGTTCAGGGACCATCTCCTATCTGTTTGAAATTACAAGGTTATTTGGTTGAAATAATTAAGAACTGGAGATCTACTTGGTAAGCAGAATGCATCAGATATTTTATAATTATTAGATAATCCAATGAACACTATTCTGCAAATTATGAGTTCTTCATATTATGAACTAAAGTATAATATGTAACAATCCAGAATCATTTATTTAAGTTAAATTGCTTTTTTATTTCTATCATTTGAATTAAGCTCCTTGGTTATAAATTCACTAAAAATTTCATTAAATACATTTTCATGACATTTATTTATTCAACATTTTTCATTTATTTAGTATAACAATTTAATCTGAAACTTCATTTTCTCTCCCCTTAAGTTACATTCCTTACATCCATGGAGCAGGAGAATAATACAATCAGTGAGTTCATCATGTTGGGATTCACAACAGACCCTGTGCTGCAGAAGGTCTTGTTTGCAGTGTTTCTTGTTGTATACACATTGACTTTGCTGGGAAATAGCTTCCTAATTGTGTTGATCTGCAATGACTCCAGGCTCCACACACCCATGTATTTCTTCATTGGAAACCTGTCATTCCTAGATCTTGGGTTGTCTTCTGTCTACACACCAAAGATCCTAGCAACCTGTATCTCTGAAGACAAGAGCATATCCTTTGCTGGCTGTGTGGCTCAGTTCTTCTTCTCTGCTGCACTGGACTACACTGAGTGTTACCTTTTGGCTGCCATGGCTTATGATCGTTATGTAGCCATCGCAAAGCCTCTGTTTTATTCACAAGCCATGTCCTTAAAGCTATGTGCATTTTTAGTGGCAGCTTCATATCTTGGTGGCTTCATTAACTCTGTTATCATCACCAAAGACACCTTTTCCTTGACTTTCTGCAGTGACAATGTAATTGATGACTTTTTCTGTGATATCCCACCCCTGGTGAAGCTGGCCTGTGGCAAGAAGGGCAGCTTCCAGTCTGTGTTGTTCTTCCTCTTGGCTTCCAATGTCATCATCCCCATTGTGTTTATCCTGGCCTCTTATCTCTTCATTATTGCCACGATCTTAAGGATCCGCTCCACTCAGGGCCGACTCAAGGCCTTCTCCACCTGCTCTTCCCACCTCATTTCTGTGACCTTGTACTATGGCTCCATTCTCTACATTTATGCTCGTCCCCGGTCCAGCTACTCTTTGGATAGGGACAAAATTGTTTCAACCTTTTACACAGTGGTTTTCCCCATGTTGAATCCCTTGATCTACAGCCTGAGGAATAAGGATGTGAAAGAGGCTCTGAATAAACTTCTCAAGTAAATCAAGATAATTTCCTTGTAAGATGCACAGAAAATATTTAATCAGACTACTCATGTTCCAGGAAAGATGCTGCTAATCACAGTGCTATAAATTAAGATAAAGATCCATGCAATTCAGCCATATGACTTCTGGGTGTATACACAAACAGTTCAAACCAGATTAATATAAAGATTCCTGTGCATTCATGCTTATCACAATAATATTAACAATAGCTTGGTTATGGAATTATTCCAGGTATCTTTCTACAGGTATATAGAAAAATTATAATGTGTACATGGTAGCTTTTTACTCAATTATAAGAAGGAATGGAATGAAACATTTTTTGTAGGAAAAAGAGTGGAACTAGAGAGAATTATTAAAAGGAATAAACTAGTCACACCAGAACAAAAATACTTATGTATCTCTCATTTTTTTTGGAAGCTAGGAAATAAATAAAGAGTATGGTTGCTAAAGTGGGACAATTGGGAGAAGAATAGAGACAGAGAAAGTAAGCAGAGAAATAGTAACAGAAGATATAT